CTAACACGGTCGAACGCCTTTTCCAGATCCACAAAACACATGTGGACTGGTTGGGCGAACTCCCACGAGCCCTTGAGCACCCGATGGAGGGCATAAAGCTGGTCCAGTGTGCTGCGACCGGGACGAAAACCAGACTGCTCCTCCTGAATCCAAGGTTCGACTATCGGTCATATCCTCCTCTCCAGTACCCTGGAATAGACTTTACCGGGGAGGCTGAAGAGTGTGATCCCTCTGTAGTTGGAATACACCCTCCGGTCCCCCTTCTTAAACACAGGGACCACCACCCGCACTGTAGACAGTGCTGGTGGAAAGCTGCTTTCCCCTCCTGAGGCGCCGGACGGTTTGCCAGAATTTTTTCAAGGCCGACAAATAGTCCTCCATGGCCTCCCTGAACTCCTCCCAGACCCGGGGTTTTGCCTCGGCGACCGCACAAGCTGCCGCACACTTGACCTGCCGGTACCCATCAGCTGCTCCAGGAGTCCCACAAGCCAAAAATGACCGATAGGACTACTTCTTCAGCTTGACAGCATCTCTTGCTTCTGGCTGTCACCACCGGGTTCTGGGATTGCAGCCGTGGGAGGCACCAGAGACCTTACGACCACAGCTATGAGCGGCCGCAGCAACGATGGAGGAGGGGAACATGGACCACTCAGCCTTCATGTCTCCAACCTCCCTGGGAGAATCTGGGAGAAGCTCTCCCGGAGGTGGGAGTTGAAAACTCTGCTGACAGAGGGTTCTGCCAGACGTTCCCAAGAGACCCTCACGATACGCTTAGGTCTGCCAGGTCTGACCAGCTTCTTCCCCTGCCAGCGGATTCAACTCACCACCAGGTGGTGATCGGTGGACAGCTCTGCCCCTCTCTTTACTCGAGTGTCCGAGACACGCGGCTGGAGGTGAGATGATACAACTACAAAGTCGATCATCGACCGCCGGCCTAGGGTGTCCTGGTGCCACGTGCACATGTGGACATCCTTGTGCTCGAACATGGTGTTCGTGATGGACAATCTGTGACTAGCACAGAAGTCCAACAACAGAACACCACTTGGATTCAGATCAGGGAGGCCGTTTCTCCCGATCACCCCTCTCCAGGTCTCACTGTCATTGCCCACGTGGGTGTTGAAGTCCCCCAGTAGAACAAAGGAGTCCCCAGTCGGGGCACTATGTAGTACCCCTCCCAGGACTCTGCACTGCTGCGGGGCCCATAGGCCGAGACAACAGTGTGAGACCTGTCCCCAACCCGGAAGCGTAGGGACGCAACCCTCTCATTCACTGGGGTAAACTCCAACACGTGGCAGCTAAGCTGGGGGGCAGTAAGCAAGCCCACTCCAGCCCGCCGTCTCTCCCCGTGGGCACCGCCAGAGAAATGGAGCGTCCGGTCTTTCTCCAGGAGTTGGGTTCCAGAGCCCAGGCTGTGCATGGAAGTGAGGGCGACTATATCTAGCCAATATCGCTAAACCTCCCGCACAAGCTCAGGCTCCTTCCCCCCCAGCGAGGTGACGTTCCACGTCCGAGCAACCAGAGGCTGTGTATGCGGACCAGGCCGCCGAGGCAGCCCCTCTCGACCGCCACCCAGTCCTCTCTGCACCCGACCCCTATGATTCCCTCTGCGGATGGTGGGTCCACAGGAGGGCGGGCCCACGTCGACCTTTCGGGCTGTGCCTGGCCGGGCCCCTTGGGCAAAGGCCTGACCATCAGGCGCTTGNACATGTTTGCATGACAGCTCAAAAAGCACACCAGTTCTATGCCAGTTATTCCCAACTAAATGACCTCTGCGGCCCGAGGGGAGGCTGGCAGCTCCGGACCGCTGTGACTGACACCTCATTAACCCGCCGCGGCGCTGCCGAGGCCAACAAACCGGCGTATCTGTTTCTTTGTGCGGTCGGTTCTGCTCATGTGGCCCCAGAATAACTAGCAGGGGTCACGGTGTTGAGTGAGCTCATCGTAAATGAGACACAGGTCAGCGCACACACACACGGTGGCGGGCCCACAGGTGCAACAACAACACCCCATTAGGACCGACCGGGTTGTAGGCGACACCCCGCGGGATTTGTTTGTACGAGTGCCACAGCTTGAGTGCATTCATGGCTTCCAGTTCGGGGCCGTGAAGGTGAGACTCCCGCCGGGCTGCTGCCGCTGCTGGCGGCGCTTCAGCCTCCATCGGCAACTGGAAAGTTCTGATTATTTATTAGATAACGTGAAAGCAGTTAGGGTTGGATTAGCAGTGCTGCATTAGCATTGTATGCCACTTTGGACATGGTGTAGATGATGAAGAGGCTAATGTGAGCAAGAAAGCCTGCAGAGATAGAAACAGGGATGTAGATACAGACAGCAAATGGTGAAAGAAATCTAGTTTTTGTTTTGTCTGTATTTGTGCAAAGTAAGTACAAAAGTCTGCAGCAATGCTAGCAGCTCTGTGAGTGGTGATAGCATCAGCATGCTAACATGTTCATAATTACAATACTAACATAATGACGTTTAGCATTCGTGCAAGCTAAGTACAAGAGTGTGCAGCCATGCTAGCAGCTCTGTAGAGTTGTATTAGACCTTAATGCTAACATCAGCATGCTAACATTTTCATAATTACAATGCTAACAAGTTGATGTTTAGCATTCATGCACAGTAAGTACAAGAGTGTGCAGCCATGCTAGCAGCTCTGTAGAGTTGTATTAGACCTTAATGCTTACATCAGCATGCTAACATCTTCATAATTACAATGCTAACATGCTGATGTTTAGCATTCGTGCACACTTAAAAGAGTGTGCAGCCATGCTAGCAGCTCTGTGGAGTTGTTTTAGACACTAACAGTGCTACATTTCACAGCAATCAATGTCATGATTGGATAATTAGCTTAAAGGTCAAAAGGTCAACTTCAAAACAGAAGGGTTCACCAAAGTCAGGAGGGTTCATCCTCTGGGGATAACGCATCCTCAGTGCAAACCGTCAACGCAGCAGAAGGCTAAAAACGTGCGTTGTCTCGTTTACAGTTGACAGAAATGCAGAGAAACCACCACGAGATGTGACTCCGTAAGATTGTGTTTGCATCCAAACCTTAATCAGATAATTATGAACCATTTAAAATGTCGTGAACTGCTGCCTTCCTCACAAATACTGATCGTCCGCAATGTTTTCAGAGCAAAGCAGAAGGTTTTTCTTGACGCTCTCAGCTGAGCAGCAGGTGTCTCACAAGATTTGTGTGTTCATCTGAGTATGACACGCGGTCGGACGCATGTGTTGGATCAGATGTTAACTGGGACACGACAGTTTATGACGTGGTAACAAGCTGCTGCCTAAAGGTCAGCGGCGGAGGAAAAAATGCAAATGTTAGCAGCAATAATACACTGGAGTAGAAAACACTCGAAAGCTATTTTAAAAAAGTACCGGGAAAAAAGGTTGTTTCTTGGAATTGCTTGTGAGAATACTTGTGTTTAATTTAATCTGCAATAATCGTATGTTTTTAAATGTAACGCCCTCATTTATAAAACTGCAAAAAAAAAAGTGGTTCAGTCGATTTTTTAATTCTGTTTGAACTGTATTGGAGCAGAAGTACTGAGCAGCACAAGCATCTACAATTTCTCACTTTGCACCAAGGAAAAGAAACAGCGTTTTGCTAACGTACGTCTTTGTCACAGTGATTTAAGAGGAGGCTGAATGAAGGCGTCAAGTGCAGCTAAGTTGCCTTTTAAAGTAATCAGTGAACCTGTCAGAGCTTTTCATATGACCTGTGTGACATATACAACACGCATGTAGCTGTGCACGCTGCACGCATGTGCTGCTGATTATACTGTAAGTGTGTGTGTGTGTGTGTGTGTGTGGGTGTGTCTGTCCTCTGCAGTTTGTAATCAGCTGTCAAACTGGGCTCCGACCCCATCGAGGCTGGCAGTGAAAAGCTGTGAGCAGCAGCAGCGGAGGTGGAGGACGGACGGAGCAGACGCTCGGCTCGCTGTAATATCGGTTCAGTGTTCGAGGCATTCTGTGAGTGTTCGGGTGGTTTTCAGACTCCGGTGGGAACAGTCCAGAGATAAAAGGTAAGAACTTGAAGCAGTCAGAGGTAATATGATGCTAAAAAGAGATAAACGGCATTTTGATGTTGTCATTATCATTATTATTATCATTATTATTATGCAATAATTTACAGATGAATATTATATTAATACAACAGCGGTGGTCCATTTTCATTTATGCTTCACCAAAAGAGAAATAAAACGTGTAAAAATATCAAACTCACACACATCCCGGCTGTAAAACACATTAAATTCACACTATTTTGTGTAATAATTCAGCATCATTAGTTCATGATGGAGGGCAACTTATTGTTTTTAATAAGCATGAACCAGAATTCTGGTGTTAAAAAAAATGCAGTTTGATGGAAGTTATTCAACAGGACCATCACTCGTGCAGTAAATGTAGAAAGCTGTCAGCAAAAAAATGTATTATGACGTGTTTTTGTGCATAAATGAACAATTAAATCGGCTCTCTGTCCTGTTCATAACTAAGCTTAAAAATATCCATAACTTTAATGTGTTTATCAAAGAAAGTCCACAGCAGGAGGTGTTTTGTGACCAAACACATTATCTACACGGAAAATATTGCTTTTTAATTCAAAGTGTTGATAAAATTACATCCATCAGACTGAATCTAAATAAGTTTCATGTGTAGTTGGATAGTGAGCTGCACTGTCATGATTGTGTGATAATTAAACAGCTGTTACTATTTTGTAAACCATCCTTATATGTACACAGAGCTGCAAAATTAACATTATTTCTCACACAGCTCATAATAATCCTGTATTGACTGACTGGAGATGCTCGGCTTTTACTGTAGCTGTAACGTGTGATTAAAGAGGTTTTCTCATGTTAAAAATAATAAAACTATGGTTGTGTCAATATGTTAAATTATTGTTATTTGACCTTGTTGGAATCAGAAGTGTTTCTAATTATTCTTTAAATGGCTGCACTTAAAAGCACAGCGTCTTAACTCTATCCAGCTGTTTTTACACATGTTGAGACACCTGAGCACCAGAAGTGTGAAAAAAAGTCCTTAAATCTAAGTTTTTAAACTGGGGGAGGTACAAAACTTGGTGTAAGGTTACAGACTGAATGGAAACAGCCAATCAGTGATTACACACAGGAATCACATGACCTAAACGTCACTCTGCTTAAAATGGGGCCAAAATTCACATTTAATTTTACAATTATCTGAACATTTGATTGAAATTTGTTGATGTTCACATGCAGCAGGTGGCTCGAATGTCTGTGACCAAATAACAAACCTTTAATTTGCTATAAAATAGATTTCAATTAGACATGCTCGTATTTTTTTTTGTACCATATATGCAACTGATGATGAACCTGGTAGCAGGTTAACGATCTTGTGTGTTCGTTTCAACAGGACCTGCAGCCTAAATGATATAAACATACATGTCGGTGACCCATAGCAGCATTTATATATATTTATATATAAACCACAGTTACTTTTCTCCCCAGTTTAGGTTTCACCACAGAAACATCATTAGCTTTGGGGGAAGGTCTAGTTTTGATTTCATAAATCAGGCATTCATACAAAAATAAACACATAAAGCGAGATGTCTGTTAAAGTAACAGCAGTTTCTGTTTTATTTTCCTTATTTCATGTCTCATCATACAATGACTGATGTGACAGAAATGTAAATGCAGAGTGACATTAGAGACATTTATTGCCCAGGTGAGGTACATGAAGAAGGTGTGTAGCTCCAGTGTTCTGTTGACCCATAGCTCTGCCCCAACATCCTCCCCGCACAGACTTTGTTTAGTTCTATTCAGAGAACCACTTTGAAACTTTGCTTTTTGTTCTTGTGGTACAACTTCTGCTTCAGTCATGAAAGTCCAATGGAAGTAACTTTGTGTGTGACAAAGTTCTTCATATTAAAAAGTCATTTTTTTAATAGAGGTTGTTCATTATTGTGACTAAACATGTAGTTTACATCATGGAGGTGTTGTTGACTGTCTGTTAACCCTTTCAACACTGAGCCACTTTGGCTTGAAAGTCATGATCAGACATGGTTTTGATTAATCACTCATAGAGTCTTTAGTAGACTCCACATCATTACATAACTGGTGTCAATCAAAAGTAGACAAGTTGACGGTTAAATGTATCTGAAGTTTACTCTTGTCATGTACATACAGGTGTGAAAAAGAAAAGGTAAACTTCATAATTACCAGGGATATATGCCAGGATCCTCGCCAGGATTTTGGTTTACAGCGTACCGGGGAGGAAGGTTCTTAGCAAATGCTGCTAATGGTTAGCAGGGAAAAGCAGCATTAGCAGTGAAGACGACAGTAGTGAAACTCTGTCGGCGCTTGTAGTTAAATATTTTACCCTCGAAAGCAACGTAACGGCCCGATTTGCAGCGTAATTGTTTCAGGCAGCAGTGTAACGGGCCGTTACTCTGTTATGACGTTGGCGAGAACCCTGCATGCAATTAATTATCAGTTCTTATATACTGAGACATCAGCCAAAGTCTTGTAATTAGTTCCTCGATTATAAATATTTCAGAAACAAGTTAGCGAAAATCCTGTTTTTTGGTGATTTTTGGGGTCAAACGACATCATTTTACTTCATTTGCATTATTTATTTCATGACTGAATTGCTTGTTCACATTCCCACTGACAGACAATCAAAATGAATGTGACAGAAAGTCGTCATATACCGGAGCCACTATACCGGGCTGCAGTGTTGAACGTGGGTCGTCATGCCAGCCCGGTATGGTGGGCTGTAGCGTCAAAGGGGTTAAACTGACTAACAACAGTCTCCTGTGTTCAAATCCAATGTTTTGTCGATGCGTCGCTCTGCTTCAACCTCCTCCCTGCACAGACTGCAGACTATGATACCGCCTCAAATATACCCCCAAAACAGTTTTGTCTTTGTTTCCGTGTTCGACTAAAGATGATCGAGCTGGGCCTCGCCGACGGCAGCTTGATCGACGAGCTGATGGAGCTGATGGCGCAGAGCCTCGGCCAGCTGGAGATCCAGGAGCGCTTCAACGTCATCAAGGAGATCGGCCGAGGGAAGTACGGCAAAGTGCTGCTGGTCACGCATCGCTTCAGGGGTACGCTTTGTTTTCTGAACTCTTCTGGCTGCAAATAACCAAGTACCAACTTATTTCTATCAGTTATGACACAAATAGAATGTGGTTTCTGATCTCTGAGGTCATTACATTTGCAGGAAAAAATCAGGTGTTTCCTCAGCATTGTGGTCGTCTTGGTTTCCTAAAGCACTGAACTGGTATTGAAAAAAATAAACTATTCATCAACAGCACATGAGTAAAAGTCAAAGCAGAACAAAGTAGCAGCTGCAGATCTTTACAGAGCAGCTCCAGTAAACACAATTCAAGAAAAAGATCAGACTTCTGGCCGAATGGGAACGTTGAACTCTTGGCGACCCGGACAGGAAGACCGGTCAAGGTGGAAAGCGAAGAGCGAGTCGGTGTAGACAAAGTGGAGAGCAGAATGCAGAGCACGAGCTGGCATGAGGCTGGCTGGCTCCAGGCCTGGAGGCTTCGAATTCGAAAACCGTTGGAGTGTGTGACGACCTGGGAGAAGTTTAAGGTGTCAGAAAAGCAATGCTGCGGTGCGTTAGATAATTCTTACATCACACGGTGGATAAATAACGTCTCACCGAAGTGCTCAGAAATATTAGTACGCCTTCATTTCTTTAGTCAGACAATGATCCTGTGCATGACCTGAGATAATAATAGCAGGAGTTTGGATGATCTGACAGGGACTCCCATGGCCTTGAAAGTGATGCCCAAAGCCTCGACTAAGCTGCAGGGCTTTCTCCGAGAGTACTGCATCTCCCTACACCTGTCCCACCACCCCTGCATCGTGGGCCTCTTTGGCATCGCCTTCCAGTCCAACGAGCACTACTGCTTCGCCCAGGAGCTCGTCATCGGACGGGACCTTTTCGCCGTCATCCAACCAAAGGTGAGTAAAAGAAGAAACGAGGAACGTCGTCAGTTTTGGTGATGGGTCCTAAACCAAAGGGCTTCCACAAATTCAGGTGAAAGGTTAAGATACGTCTGGTGGTAGCGGCAGTGGAAGAACTCAGGCGATTGGTAGTTTAATCAGCCATGACAATAAAACCGCTAATATTACGTAGAGTTCTCAAAGAATCTCTCACCTGTCTAGGCTCTAAGTTGCATCCCACAGATGCTCAATCATGTTGAGATCACGAGAATCTGGAGGCCAAGTCAACACCTTGAGCTCTGGTTCCTCAAACCATTAAACAATGTTTTCGGGGAGCCTTATCTCACTGAAATCAGGAAACACTGGCGTCACGAAGGCTTCTGCAGGAATGTTTAGGTGTCAAAGTCCACATGAATATCTCATCAAGGCTTTTTAGCTGAACGTTGCCCAAACACCTGGACATCCACATGCTGGCAGAGGAAACATGCTGGCTCAGTACATCTGAATTGTAAATAGGGTTGGGATTTATTTTAACAAACAGCTGTGAAAATATTTTGCGCAACAGAAAGAAAAAGTCAGGACACCACCAGCATCAGTAGGATTCATCCTCTGGGGCCATGAGTGTCCAACTTTCATGGACATCTATTCAACTGAAGACTGACTGGATGGATAGAATCATGGTTGAACTCTGACTGAACTGAAACTCAAATTACAGATTTAACAGGTTATCCTGGTAAAGTTTCTTTTTACTATATGACTGTCCAGGACTATTTGGAGGAAAAAGGATGACACAAAGAGTGATTTGAAATGATCAGAAATATGTTAAAACATGCTGTGAAATAATGAAGACCTGTGTAATCAGTCACCCAAATTCTGATTCAGTTTAGACAGTATTTCCATAATCCACAAAGACAAAACCACCAGTGTAAAGGGATGGATGTTTGGATTCAGACTCCTTTTAGTTGTCTAGATTTGTAAAGAAAACACAAATTCTTCTCGGTGTTCATCCCACAGTCTTCTGTAAAACTCTGTGTCCTCCAGAATTGCCAGAATCATGGCTCTAGAAGAGACTTTACCTTCACAAACCTACAGGTGTACCAGGTAGCCATGGTAACCGTATAACTGCCTAGAACTATTTGGAGGAAAAACATGCCACGAAAAAATGATTGGAAATATATCATGTCTGTGTCGGTTCTCAGACATCCAGGTCATGGCAGGAGCTTCAGCAGAAAGCGACAGAACTTCTCTTTTAGGTTCTTAAAGATGTTTCGTCTCAATCCAGGAGGCTGAGAGAACTGAAGAAGCCTCTTGGGTGAAGGTCACATGTCTTTAAGAACCTAAAAGAGAAGTCCAGTTGCCTTCTACTGAAGCTCTGAGGATACTAAAACCATCACGGCTCAGGCCTTTGTATCAGTCGGCCAAAGTAGTGATTCTGAACCTAAAAATCCACAAGGACACAACCAACTAGTTTCATCTCGTGTTTGTCATCATTTCAGTTGTCTAGAGTTGTGAAGAACACACATGAATACAAACTCCTATCCTTAATTCCGGTCATTCTTCCAGGTGGGTATACCAGAGTCCTCCGTAAAACGCTGCGTCCTCCAGATCGCCAGCGCTCTGGAGTTCATCCACAGCCACGGCCTGGTCCACCGAGACGTCAAGCCCGAAAACATCCTGCTGCTGGACAACCACTGCTGCCAGGTGAAGCTGGCCGACTTCGGCCTCGCCCAGAAGAGGGGCACCATGATCCGCTTCATCACGGGAACGCTGCCCTACATGGCCCCAGAACTGTGCACCGTGGCCCTGCTGGACGGCCAGAAGGAGGTGACGGCCGCCCCCCTCAGCGTGGAGCCCAGCCTGGACACCTGGGCCTTCGGCGTGGTCATCTTCTGCATCCTCACCGGCTACTTCCCCTGGGAGCGCTGCATGGACTCGGACGACTTCTACCAGGAGTTTGCGGACTGGTGCAGGCTGGAGGAGAGGCCCGACGCCGAGGAGGACGTTCCTCCTTTGTGGAAAAGGTTCACTCCGGACGCGATGGAGATGTTCGCTAAGCTGCTGGCTCTGGATGCGAGAAAGCGGTGCAGCGTGGTGGAGGTGAGGGCGTACGTGGAGAAGGACTGGCTGAAGCAGCAGGCAGGTGGACCGGTGGACAACCAGCCTGGTGCTTAGAAACGGTTGGGTTCACAGTTTCTGATGCCCAGTATATCATATCGGCCTAACAGTGCAACTTGCCCTGAAGAAACGCATGTTAACATCCTCCTGAATGAAGGTGCGTTATTCTGAGTTCCTGAGTTCAAGAGTCACGCCAGAAACAAAGACTCCACAGTGATGCTTAAACCAGCGGCGGAAGAAGTATTTGGAGGTGCAACGGTCACGAACTGCATATTTTTATGTGCATTTTAAAGCATCACATTAGATAAAAGTTCATGGAAGCAGCAAAACTTTCTTCAGTTTCGTCAAAAAGTTCATAAACTCGTCAGAGATTATGTTTTCGGAAAAGAGAAAATGAAGTAAACATGTGACAGTTAAACCTTCTCTGAATAGGTTCTGACGTATCAAACATTGAGCCCAGATGTGGGTCCCTCCACCTGAATTCATCACATGGCTCCCACATGACCATGTCAGGATGGAGGTTCATCATAAACATGGTTCTGTAGTAGAGTTCCTTTTAATCATTTGAATGTTATGCAGCACATGTTTAATGTGACTTCAAGGCTCAGCGCTAACTTTTACTGTCGCTGTAATGACGCATTTAGCTCAACCCACATGAACATTTCGGCGAGTCGAGGAGCTGATACGGGCAGAAATAAGAACAAATATAAAATGTTTAATGAACTAGAAGTTCTGCTGATAAACTCAAGGACGTTTCACAGTCTGACTTCTGGATGCATTATTATTATATATTGTTATTAAAGTGTTTAAATCTTCTTGGTCTTATGTAACAGTCTGTTGTGAATAAACCATCGCTGGCCTCTATCGTCTGTAAATCTAAATGTAATCCAACACCAGGTTTCTGACATTTTTGTTGATGCTGTAAAAAGATGCTTAGTTGGTGCTATAATGGCCTATGTTGCATTTAAATGGTTCCTATTTGGTTGACACTTCTCTCCACATATGATGGGGTTTTATTTTACTCCAGGGTCATGACTCAGGAGCAGTAAATGACTTTTATAAATCCAGTTTTATTGTTGTTTGCCCTCAATATAATGACAATAAAGTGACTGTTGCTGCTGCTGTGGCTGCATAAAATGGGAAAAACCCTCTTTTAGGCAGTTGAAGTTAGATTCGTGACCTTCTGGTTGTAGCTGGCTCTGCAGTGATGGATGCTGCTGCTGTTTGGACACCACAGGTGCTTTCAGGGCAGATCTGAGGAGGACCGAACCACTCTTGGCCCGTAGCCTGATGCTCATGCTTTACATGCTTCTATAGGGCATTACGTGTCCGTCAGCCGACACTCGGACCTCCAGGCCCGTCGGACAAACACGAATGCAGCCGACGTAAATCCAACCACAAAGCCGCTGCAGACGTTTGAATCTGCGTAGGAGCGTCACGCATGTTTATCCCGAATAACAACACAAGACGCTAAACTGTTTCAGAGATGAACGACAGATTAAAAAAAAAAAAAAAAGCACAACCTCTTAATGTCAGACACCAGATAAGTATAGTTTCCAGGAAACAGCATCTACTTGAGCTATCGTCACATGATTTCCTCCCCGTGCCAACTAAAGATCATCTGCGGTGATGCACTTTCCTCTTTATCTTATCTACTCGTGTTTCTGTTACTCGAGCACTTGAACGCCACGTCGGTCTCTAAACGCACTCCGATGGACCGATACTGATGGATGAGGATGTTTCTGGCCCTTTTCGCTGCTCTTTAGAACAGATGATAACATTTTAAAACTAAATAAAGACATTTGAAGCAGGACGGCGGAGTTGTCTTCTTGAATTCATCCGCTTGCTTTCACGAACGTATTAATTTAACAACCTGAAAATATACAAGTACAGACTGGATATCTAATTAATAGTCTGTGTAAAGTTTATTTGTGATTGATAACAGATAAAACTTATTATAATAGAAAAAAACCATTAGTGTCTGTTAATTGTTAAATTCTCCAACTGAATTACTTAAATTTTGCCTTTTTTAGCATCGATAAGCAGCACAGATACTTGAACAATATGCTATAATTACGCTTAAATGGACAGTACTTCTCAAACATTATAGCTTATTGTATGAATCTTATAGGAGTAGAAAAGTATTTTACCATCTTTATCTGTTTATACACCAGTTTCCTCCAGTTACTGTTGAGTTTAACATCTGCTTCAGTGACTCGTGTGAATAAAAACCAGCAGCTAAAAGTTTGTTCAGTGATTCTAAATGCTGAAAGAAATTAAACCAGCAACTTAAATGTTCTTTACTTTGACGTACAAACCATTAGTAAATGATATATGAGCTAATATTAAGGTCACTAGTTACAGCTCAGAGGCCCTTTTTAAAAAATAAAATATCATCCTAAGTTTTCCACACAAATGGCTGCAAAATATTAAAAACAAAATAGTCTGCATTATTTCAGCTGTAACAAGGTGTAAAGAAGTTTAAAGCAGAAGAAAAATGATAAAATAGATGGATAATTTAGACATTTCTATCTTTGATTTTTGTTTTTTGTTTTTAAAGGTTAGCTAAATGCTAAATGCGAGGCTGAAACATACAGTTACTATATGATGATATAATATTTAATTAAAATAAGACATTTCTGCAATTCATCCATTGGTTTTGACCTAAATTACCATTATTATTATGTAAGTATTATGAAATAGACTGAAGTAGAATTATTCATTAAATGCTAAATGCTAGGCTGAAACATACAGTAGCTATAAAATATAGTATATCCACGTTTTACAACCTAAAATAATAACCAAGTTGTACATAGACATACCATATTCTGCACCGTCTTCTTACACGTCACGGTGTGAAATACCACTAATGACTGTTAACAGACCGGCCCTGCCATAAATCAGGTGTTTTCGTCGTGGATTACGGCATCTTCGTCTCTGCCCACACACACCAACACACTCACAGAGCTGCAGACAACAACATCCAGGCTTTATGGATGACACCATCCACACAGGAGCACTAAAAATACCTCCCTTTGTTTTGGAAAGTCACCACAACTGGGGCCTTTTTCCAGCCGACGGCTCGTCCGACTTGTAAATCCACCAAGAGCCACCATGTGGTGGCTTTTATCAGCAAATCAGTGTCATGGGAGGAGGCAGAAAGTCACATTTCAAAGGATGTATGTAGGAAAAAAAACATATTGTCAAATTATGATGTCATCACACCATTGATGATATTTGATGCTTTATGTATTTGCTAATGTTTCCGAGCAAGGATGACAACTTAGGCTCCGCCCACAGGCAGCTGAGGACCAAAAAAAAAATGGCCACCGTTCATCCAGTCTGCTTTAAACTTGACGTTGTGCTCTCTCAGATTCCCAGCAATACACCGGCCAAGTTTGAAGCAGATGGGATGGACAGTTGTTGACATAAACGACACACACAGGACTCCTAAATCTGGTGGCTTGCCGCTTATCTTTCTATGATACAATAACTTTGCAGAAAATCATGAAATCTGAGCCCAAAAACATTTCAACAATCTCTCAGTTCATCAAAGGCTGATATTAACGCGGCTTGTTTTGCAGGCTTTTGAGTCATAAACCGAAAAATTACAGGAACAAAATTAAACTATTTGAGCTGGAGGTGATGCTTAAAGTTAATATGATTCAAATTGAGGTAAACTGACAAACACGCACCGCGGAAACTTTCAACAGGTTCACTGAAAAGTTTTAAAAATAACGCTGCCTCTTCAAAAACTTTACCTTCTTTTTCTGATTTAGTATCTTAGCGTTAAATAAAACCACACATTAAAGCAAGTAAATGAGCTTTATTATCTTTAACCCTGGGTTCTGTCTGCAGGCGCTGACCTGAGAGGTAAAACTCGGGGCAAAACCTTCAATATCGATACTGTGCCTGAGACTGTTGGTTAAAAACAGAAAACAGCAGATTTGAAAAATGTGCATCAGAGTTTCCTCAAATGTCTTGTTTGGTCCAGAGAGCTTCAGTTTACTGCCACAAAGGAAAGAACCCAGAAAGTATTCACACTGAAGAAGGTGAAACCACAGAGTTCAGACTGATTGTAATAAAAATGGCTCAAACTGATTAATTAGTTGACAACTACTGGATAAATTGATTCATTCTTGTCGCTGTCCCTCCAAGCAGCTGTATGGGTCTCAATGCTGACTGGTTAAACTCACTAGAACTGGGTTTTGGTCCAGTAACTGTTGGTTCTGGTGAAGCAGCGGCTTTAACATCAGGTGGACGGAGGGTCAGCGGATCAGCGCCGACCACAGTTCGCCCACAGCCGCCTCGCTGTCAACAGAGCTCATCCCTGCTGACAGCGACGAGGGTTTCTTTTTATAATCTTACAACTTCCAGTAAACAACACGATGCTTCAGCCCGTCCGGTCCTGCGGCAGCACCTGAGCTCCAATGAAAACATCATCTGTATCGCTTACACATCGCTGTGACTTCGCCGGGTCTATTTCAGCCATCAGACGGACCTAATCCTGGATCTGATCCCTGAGCAGGGCCTCTGACGGCGGCTAGCGCTGGTGTTTGCGTATCGTACATACAAATTAGTCCCCTCGGGCGCATCGTTGGCCCTTGGATAACTCCCGACCAAACATGTTGGGCTCTAGCAGCTCTGTCAACCTCTTAAAAGCGTGTCTGTCAACCCTCTACGCATGGTCTTACTCATGTTAACATTTGCACTGAGCAGCTGCTCTCGTATGTCCGGACCACTGGGGGGGGAGATGTTTAACTGATTATAGGACATGTGGAAGCACTGGAAGAGACCCAACAAAGTAAAACACTTGTAAAGTCGACGTCTTGAGGAGAAAACGGCTTATTGTGCTGTGTATCAAACTATATACGACATAGATAACATACAGTTTGATACTCAACATCCGAGCCGTTTCCTAAAAGCCCACCGGAGAGCCGCCGCAGCACAAACACATGCATGTAGAAGATAAACACCTAAAAACACAAAGCAAGCAACAAGAGTTCAACGTGGTTTCTGTGCAGAGCCAGCATGTGCTAAACCATCATTTTAAACCTTTTGGTGCCACAGGATACTGAACCAGTGTATCGTGAAGCAGCACAGAAACTCTGATGAAAAAGGACANACCCCTGGCGACGTCAGTGGTGGCAAGATGGGAATCTAGTAGTGGGAAACAGCTGACGTCTCCCTCATCACATTTCTTCTCCCACAGTTTGAGCTTTTTTGTCAATCTTTTAACTTTATCATACATGTTCAGGATGTGTGGCTCCTTTCCCTGAAGCGACAGGTTGAGCTCGTGCAGTTTGGTGAACACATCAGCGAGACACGCCAGGCGCGCGCGCCACGCACTGAGCATCACAGCACGAGGATGCGGACGCTGCGTTAGATACAGAAGCTTCACCGCGCGGTTCATAAAGTCTGAGTCGTGTTTTCCAACGGGACGGAGCTGCTCGTGCTCTGTGAGAGTTTCAGTCTGTGATTTACTGGCCGGGACTGGATGAAAGTTATCACCTCCACAGCATCATCCACAGCAGCACTTCAATCAGGGCTCGTTCGCTGACTTGCCAGTGCTTCGCGGTGAATGATACAGTGCATCCATGTCATGTCGGGATTTACCTTTTTCACGTGTCCAAAAAGTCCCTTCACACGTCCCGCCATCGCAGCTGCTCAGTACAGATGTGACTGCAGGCTTCCCACTGCAGATCGTGTTCTTTGAAAAAGCTGTCTGTAATCTGGAACATTTCTTCCCCGGTTGTCTTTCCTGGCAGCTTTGTGCAAAATAAAATATGCTCGTTTATGTCCGACACGTCTTTGTAACGAGCGAAGGCCAGGAGCTGAGCATCACCACCCACACCACCTGCGGAGAGAACTGACCGATGATGTGAAGCCACATGTCATCAGTCCGACGGGTCACGGTGCTGCTCCACGGCGGGACTTTCTTCAGTGTGTCGGCTGCTTTCTTGTCAATCAGTCATACCTGCTGCTGCAGGAACAATGAGCTCTTCAATTTTCATTTACAGTCTATAAAGAGTGTGTGGATGTGTTTCCATAAGTACATGTTACGTATAGAACACGTTCTCTCTAATCACTAAACCACCAAAGTACAGCAACAGGTAGCCGGTAAGCAAAACTCCACATACATGTTATTCATGTGTTCACACTCTGATCTATATATATACACACACACACA